TGCATGAGTGGGAACTTTTAGTTCGTCCCATAGAACTCACAACAATTTTGGTGCAGTAGACAATAACAGAACTCTTATTTCTATATTAAGGTAATGGTACTTTTTTGGAGAGGTAACCCGATTTAGTTTAAAGTTGTATGTTTGTATGATGAAATTACAAACCAGCATATACATTGCTTTTGGAAGCTATAATAGCATTCCATGGCAGTCAGCCTCTGGCCCATTGTGTGGCTCTGTATGCTAGCACTCGACCGCAAGGTCAGCGGTTCAAACTCACCATCTCCTTGGTGACACTCTATAGTGTCACTGTGATTTGGCACTGACTTGGTGGCATTTAACAACAAGTTTAAAATGTGGCCTCTTTGAACCTTCACTGACCTATCATGTGGTCTGACTAGGACCCCTAATTTGATCACCTCTAGGACCACAATTTCCCCTTTTCTCTTTCCAACACTTTCACTTAACTCTTAAAGCAATTGTGTGTTGTTTTGTGAAAGAAAAAATGGCCAATATTTCCGTTTTTTTACTACCCATAAAAACATCTCCAAGAAACACTTTTTTTTTTTTTCCCAAAGTTCAGGCTATTTTCTAATTTCAGCATCTTACCTACTTGAAAGCTGTGGTCAACCTAAAATAGAAAGCCTCCCCAGACCCCAAGTTTTGAGCAACAGAATATGGTTCTTTTGGTTGAGATTATCATGTGCATTTATTCATGCTACTCAAGCTTTATCTTCAGAACTTTGAGTAATTTAGATTTATCTCTTTTACAAAGTGTTTTATTAGTTATGCTTCAACCGATGTATCATTACCAGGAAATGTTCTTCCTGTCAGGGTCAGAGTGGGGGATGATTTTATATTATACTGTCCCTGAGCATGTGATTTTTGTCTTGATTCGTTCTAAGTGTCATTTTTTTTCCCTGTGTTTTTGTAAGTACTCTGGCCTCATTCTCCTCCTTTACATTAAAGTGTGAGGTAAAAACTGCCATCCCAGTTCTAGTCATCACTTCTAGAACATTGTCAGAACCCAGACAAATAACATTTAGTCTCAAGAGTACATACAATTGCTATTGCCCTGGTTTGCAGTGAGGGCAGCAACTGTTGAGTTTCTGACTTTTGCTTTTGCTATTGCCCTGGTTTGCAGTGAGGGCAGTGACTGTTGAGTTTCTGACTTTTGCTCCTTAGACATCATTGCCCTAATACTATGCTTATATTTTTGGTAGTTATATATGTTAAGAAATCCTGGTAGGTGCTGTGGGTTAATGCGCTGGACTGTAAGGTCAGTTTGAACTGCAAGAGCAAGCTCGCCAGTTGCTCCTTGGAAACCCCACACGGGGTCACTGTGCGTCAGAATTGACTCAACGACACTTAACAACAATAAAATATATATATGTAAAGGAGTCCTGGTGTGGTGCTGTGGGTTAATGCACTGGACTTCAAGGTCGGTTCTAACCGCAAGGTTGGTGGTTCAAGCTCACTAGCCACTCTTTGGAAACTCTTAGGCAGGGTTGCTATGGGTTGGAACCGACACAACGGCACTTAACAACAAAAGAAGATATATTAAGGTAAATATTTGAGCTAATCTTCTGCACGATTGCAATAGCATAGTGGTTACAAGTCAAGCTGCTAATCTCAAGGTCAGAAGTTCGAAACTGCCAGAGGTTCCACAAGAGAAAAATGAGGCTTTCTGCTCCCATAAAGATTTGCAGCTTCGGAAACCCTGTGCAGGGTCACTATTTGTCATGAGCTACTCCACGGCACACCCCCACCAACAACAACCAGACCTGAGCACAGAAATGGCACTGCTAGCCTCCACTCACCTTTGGGAGAAGCGCCGGTGAGAAGGTGCCACCGAGCCCCAGATGTCACAGCCTGACCCCTCAGGCCCTGACCATGGCTGCAAGCCGCTAGGGGCCACCTCAGCACCTGGCATTCCTCCTGTCAGAGAACGCATTTCCTTCTCCAGCACATGTCAACCGATATCACTCTCACAACCCTGCCTCCCCAGTAAGATTTCTTACCTGGAAATTACACATGTAGTTCTAGATTTTATTTAATTATTCATCACTCAACTTTCTCAGTTACTCCATCAGCAAAATGAAATGAATAACATCTTAACCTTCATGTATATGAAAATGTATATATGAAAGTTGAGGTGTTAGTAATTATTAGTATATATATGTGTGTGTGTGTATGTATGTATGTGTGTATATATGTATATGTACATATATATACACACACATATACATACATACATATATATATATATATATAGGTAAGGAGCTCTGGTAGTGTCAGCAGTTGTAAACTACCAGCGATTCCGTGGGAGAAAGATGAGGCTTTCTGCTCCCATAAAGATTTACAGCCTCGGAAACCCTGTGCAGCGTGACTATGAGTCGGAACTGACTCCACGGTACTTAACAACACATATAGGTGGTGGTGTGCCGTGGCATTAGTTCTGCCTCATAGCAACCCTGCACAGGGTTTCCAAGGCTGATTTTGAGGTTAGCAGCCCTATTCATAACCACTATAGCCCTATACATAACCACTACCAGAGCTCCATACACATACACATGTATATATATGTCTGCACACACACACACATGTATATGCATACACGCACATAATGCACACATTATGTATATGTTGTTAAGTGCCGTCGAGTTGATTCCAACCCATAGCGACCCTGTATAGGGTTTCCAAGGAGCGACTGGTGAGCTTGAACCACCGACCTTGCAGTTCAAAATGACTTTGCATTCTAACACATTAGCCCACAGCACCACACCAGGACTCCATATATGTATATACACACATAAAACACACATATATGTATATATATACACATAATACACACACACACACATATGTATTTGGTTTTGCTAAGTGCCATCAAGTCGGTTCTGACTTACAGTGACCTTATATAGAGTTTCCGAGGAGCAGCTGGTGTGTTTGAACTTTGAACTGCCAACCTTGTGGTTCTCAGGCCAATGCTGATCCTATAGTGCCACAGCAATATAGAGATGTGTGTGTGTGTGTGTGTGTGTGTGTGTGTTTATATACACATACACGTATATATAAGGGGGGTGTACATAAAGAGAGAAAGACTCCTGGTGTGGTGGCTGTAGAATCAGCACTGGACCGCAGGGTCAGTTTGAGTTGCAAGGTCAGTGGTTCAAACTCACCAGCCACTCCTCAGAAACCTTATACGGGGTCACTATAAGTTGGAACTGACTCTACAGCACTTAATAACAACAAAAACATATATATAGACCAGGAAGGAGTCTATATGTGTATAAAAAGAATCCTGGTGTGGGATCAGCACTGGACTGCGAACCACAAGGTTGGCAGTTCAAACCTACCAGCTACTCCTCAGAAACCCTATACAGGGTTGCTTTGAGTCAGAATCGACTTGATGGCACTTAGCAACAACAACAACAACATATAGAGCTCCTCAAAAGGAAAAAAACCAATGTACTTATTTATACACCATATTAAAGGACAGATATAAAAGCTAAGGATGTATTTCAGATTGCTGACATCGTCGTTAAGTGCTGTTGAAACAATTGTGATTCATAACTCTGTAGAGTTTCCAAGGATTAGACCTTTTGGTTAGCAGTCCAGTGGTTATTGTATAGTGCCACATTTAGGATTGGCAAATGGAGCTTTAAAGAGTGTATTATAGTTCATGGTCTCTGTTTCAAGCTTCCTAAAGCTTGCATGACATTATGGGTACAGATTCTCCTTACCATCATCACTACTAATGTTCATAGTTTGACATTACAGTAGAATTTCCCCGCTTGTACAGAGAAGGAATCATACGTGTGTGCAGCTAATTCTAGAAAGCATTCCGGAATGCTATTCCACTCCAGAATGAAAGTCGTTGGTTTGGAGTTGCATTAAGGTGGCATTTGTTGTGTTTTTTTCTTTGTGCACAATGCTGGTAGTGGCTGCTCTGAAGTGAGCACTGTGAGGAGCAGTACCTACACCTGCATTACCTGCGCTAGTCCTCATGTTAACATCACAGCACAGGCACGATTATTATTGGACTCACTGTATAGATGAGAGGACTGAGGCGCATGGTGGTGTTGCCCAGAGACACAGGTTGTTATTGGTGTCAGCACCACTGAGTCAGTTCCAACTCATAGCAACCCTGTACAACGTTTCCAAGGAGCGACTGGTGGGTTTGAACTGCTGACCTTGCAGTTAGCAGTCCAGTGCTTATCCTACAGCACCACACCAGGGCTGCAGAAGTCACAGGTAGCAGGTATTAAAATTGGGGTTTGATGCAAGATAATCTGACTTCAGACCTGTGTGCTCTAAAATCTTAAGTGTGTCTACCTGCCTCTTGGTGAATTAATGCAACACCATGCTGAAACCCTGTGTTTTGCCCAATGTTTAACTTGCTTTACAGAGTCAGTTCCAGTATGCCTTTTATAAGCTTTGGTAAGCATCATTTTTTTGTCCTCTGTGATTTGTTTATTTATGTGACTGTAGTTTTGTAGGAGTTCTGGTGTGGCACTGCAGGGTAATGCACTGGATCTCAAAATCGGTTGGAATCACAAGGCTGGTGGTTCAAGCCCACCAGCTGCTCCTCAGAAACCGTATACAGGGTTGCTATGAGTTGGATCAACTGGATGCCACTTAACAACAACAACAACAACAACAACAACAATAACTTTGTATGGGCATATGTAGGAAGAAATGAAAGGGCATTTTAAATTTCATTTTGAGTCACACTGACCAGCTGTTACAGAAAGCATCAACAGTAAAGAGATGTGAAATTGATGAAAGGAAAATCAACAAAATTCACCTTTGGTTTTCTTTGACCTGTAAGAAAATAGTGCTTTCACCATCTGGTCCCCAAAGGAAATGACTGCGGTGCTATTCTCTGTTTCTCCTTAGACAGCCCTGAGCAGGAGGATGGCCTACAGAAATACCAGTGGGGGAGATGGGTTGGCTTCATTTCCACTAAATGCCTGTTCCCTCCCCCATCTTGATTTCAGGTGTCAGAAACTATTTAAAAGAAGCATTGGTGAATATTATTGCGGTACACGCTGAGGTAAGCTGTCATTACATGTTCCTAAGAGACAGGTAACTGAAAGGAAGAGGCAAATTTGATGCTTTTCATGATGGTATTTGCTCCCTTCACACTGCATCTTGGATTTAAATACAACACAGTTGTATCCTGCATGCAGGATGTGTTTCTATTTTGTTTTACTTTTATGACTATGAGATTCTTCTCTTGAAGTTGTAAATCTTGCTCTCATAATTAAAACTACATGTATTAATATTGAGAAGACAAAGAGAAAAGAGATGGAAAGGATGTTTTTCTATCTTGAAAAATCAATTAACCTCTGCTTTTAGCCAGTGTACAAATCAGTGTTGTGGAGACATGGTCTTTTGTGGTGGTTGGACTTCCAGAAACTTCGAAGCTTCTTAGAAAGATAGATTCAAAAAGAGCAGGCTGAAGTTAGGAAGCAAATGCATGATTTCCTGTCAGTGGTGACTTGGGTTAATAGAGCAGTTGGTGCTTCTAGTTCACACTGAAGCCTGCCCTGACTTAGGAGTACCCTGAGGCTCACGCTGACATCCCCAGTCAGCACCCTGGTTAGGCGGACTCTTCTGTGGAACATCAAAAGAAGAGACCACAGCTACCACTGTCAGGACCAGCTATGACTACCTGCTTTCATTCAGTAATTTTACGAGTTATTACTCACTGCTCTGCCAATACGGTACAGTTGGTTCTTGCTCACAGACTGATGGGGGGGCCAGATAAAATCGAACCAAGCAAAGAGTTACCTCTAGATAAATTTCACCTTCACTCTAGTGCCTCTGAAACCATATGCATTCACTACAGGTGTGTTTGTATTTATACCACCCCATGTACCCCATACTATCAGAGGCCAGCCAGGTCAGCTGTTTCAAAAAAAGAAGAAATTAAGGTCAAAACAAGAGAGTCACCAAAGAAAACCAAGAGAGTGCTATCTGGTTCCTGAATTTGGCTGTAAGTTTGCAGTAGCTAGTACAGAAAGAGAAATACAGTATGTTATAATTTCAGTTCTTAGTAAAGGGAAATAGGGTTTTACTCAGACAAGAATTTATCATAATGATCATTTTATAGCAAGTAATGTGGTGTGGGGGTTTAGGATAAGCCCTGAACTGCAAGGTTGGTTTTAACCACAAGGTCTGTGGTTCAAACCCACCAGCCGTTCCTTGTAAACCCTGTACAGGGTCGCTATGAGTCGGAACTGACTCAACAGCACTTAACAACAACGATATATTTTCAATCACATTTTTATCAAAGGCATAAAATGCAATTTTTGTATTAGCTGCTTATTAAATTCAAGTATAAAGTTCAATCAGCAATTAGCAAAAGCATCTCTATGGTAGGTGGACAGGCGGTAGTGAGAGGAACTGAGAAATACGAAATAAGTCCAAAAAGTATTGCTACTAGGGTGTCAGTTCTTACATGTATGAGTTTATTTCAATGAACACATGGTTAAACATGTCTCTGTAACCAGTGGATGTCTGCAGACAGGTTCTATCAGTAATGCACTAGTCTTACTCTCATGGGGTGGGGGTTCCTTCAGAGCAAAAGTCCAGTAGAACAGTGGCTTTGTAGGGGATCAGTGAGGCCTTTTTAAGTCAGAGAGATCAACTCAAGGCTATGGTGACTATTTGGGGGGTGGGGGGTGGGAAGGGATTTATTTTAAGTAGTCTCATACGTGTGTGAAAGTTGGACAGTGAATAAGGAACCATAGAAGAATTGATGGATTGAAGTTTTGGTGTGGACTCTAGAAGAACAAACCAATGTGTGTTGGAAGAAGTAGAGCCAGAATGCTCCTTAGAGGCCACAATGGCCAGGCTTCATCTTCAGACGTACTGTCAGGAGGGCCTAGTCCTGGAGAAGGATATCTTGTTTGATAAAGTGGAAGGTCGGAGAAAAGCAGAAGATGCCTCCAAGAACCACGTGGGAGCCTATGTATGATGTTCTCTGGTTTCACAAGGGAGAAAGAGAATCCACCTCAGCCCAAGGCTGATTCTTACAAAGCGGAGCTCTGACATGCTTCCACCCTACAACCTTCTCTACCCTGTTCTGACACCTACCATTTCTACTTCACATCTGGGCTCAATAAACCACTGCAACCGTCATACAGAACTCATGACAGTACTCATATTATGGGGTTTATTAGGGAAGTGAGCAGGGTACAATTCAATATCAAAACCAACTCAGGATGCAGCAGTTCTCCAGTCAGGAACGCCTCTTGTCTGCCACACTGCAGGCACCCCTCACTCTTGTCTTCAGCCTCTCAGCCACAAGGTCCTCGGCCTCTGCCCTGCTCTGGCAAGTGTCACAAAGCTCCTTTAGCAGTCTGTGAATGCCCAACAGGCACTTTCTGTGAGTCGGTCTCCTGCCCAAAGGCACTCAGCTGTACTCAGTGCCTGGGCCTAAAACCCTAAGCTGCTCTGTCTCCGTCACACCGCCTCGGCCTTCATCTCTGCCATTGCTTTTCTTCATGTTTCTTCTTTCTTGATGGTCCTGGAATCTTCCTTCTCTGTTTCTGAGATAGCTCCTTTCAAACTAGCTGGAGGGCAAAACTAAACAGGCCCAGCCTTAGAGTCCTGTAGACCTTATTTACATGGTCCCATTCAATCACTGGATAGTGAACAATTGTGTATCATTGGACAGTGAATTAAGAAGACTGGAGAAGAATTGATGTTTTTACATTATGGGGTTGGAGGAGAATATTGAAAGTGCCATGGGCTGCCAAAAGAACCAACAGATCTGTGTTGGAAGAAGTGCAGCCAGAGTGCTCCTTGGAGACCAGGATGGCCAGACTTCGTCTCTCATACTTCAGACATATTGTCAGGAGGGACCAGTCTCTGGAGAAGGATATCATGTTTGGTAAGGTGAAGGGTTGGGAAAAAAGAGGAAAACCCCCAGTGAGATGGATTGGCTAAGAGGCAGCATCAATGGGATCAAACAAAACAAAGATGGTGAGGTTGTCCCAGGACTGGGCAGTGTTTCATTCTGTTGTGCTTAGGGTCGCTATGAGTTGGTACTGACTCAGTGGCACCTAACAATGACAACCCAATCACTTGGTAGGAATTAAGAAGACTTTGGATAGAAAAGCCATATCAAGAAAATTCAAGGCACCACAACCCCCAACGAGATAGATTGGCACACTGGCAGCAGCGGTGGGCTTAAGCATAACAACAATTGTGAGGTTGGTGCAGGACTAGGGAGTGTTTCATTCTGTTCTGCATAAGGTTGCTTTGCAATGGAACTGACCTGACAACATCTAACAGCAACAGTCTGATAGATTTTCTCAAAGAACAGAGAGAGCTTTTTATAAAGAAGTTTTAAGGATATTGAAAACTGCGTTGGTGAGGAAAAGGCCAGGAAATCTCCCTGAGGAATGTGTTTACATCATGATAACACACGTGCTCATTCTTCAAGAGTAACAAGGGCTTTCCTGTGAGAATCTCCCTGGGAAATCTTACCCCTACAACCTGGTCCTGCCCCTTCAGACGTCATTTTGTTTCCAAAATGCAAAGAACACTGAGATGGGATACAATTTGAGTCTCTCAGAGATACTAAAACTCCCATTTTGACATGGTACAGATCAAAGCGCGTTCTACAGGGAAGGGTTAAAGCGATGGAAACACTACTTTCAAAGTGTATAGACCTAGATGGTGAGAAACAATTGCTTCATATTTTGAGTTTTTGTTTTATAAAGATGTCTGTGATTTTGTAGCAGTCCTTTTATTCTTACCCTTATATGTGCTGGTGATGTTGTCATGTGCTGTCAAGTCAGCTTCATAGTGACCCTATGTAGAGTTTCCGAGACACAGCTGGTATGTTTGAACCTCCAACCTTCTGCTTAGCAGTCATTGCTTATCCTTTAGCACCTCACCGGGACTCCCGTCCTTGTATATACTATGTCCCACGTGTTCTTAACTTGTCAAAATCTATTTGAACATTTGAGTTATGTATAGCCTGGTGCAAGGGTTGAATGATAGTGACAATATGAAATAAAACTAGAAAGAAAGTATCATTTAATTTTAAACGAAGAGAGTAAAATGTTGCATGTGATTATCTAATACAATAACACCTAGTTTAGCTATTGAAGTCCTTGGTGTGCCACCACAGAATCAGCACTGGACTGCGAACCACAAGATGGATGGCTCAAACCCAGAGCTGCTCCTTGGAAACCCTATACAGGATCACTGTGAGTCAGAACTGACTCAATGGCACTTAACAACGACTAGAGTTTGGATATGTCAAACCTTACAAAATTTATCCTTAAGAGCATGATTTTTGTCATGGATCGCTTAATACGGTGAGAAATGTTGTCCATACTGACAAATGCTCAAGTAATCCAATCTGTACTCATTTTAGCAAGAGTGAGGTTTTCTTTATTCGATTTTGCAAGACACGGCAGACATGCCGCATGGCCAGCCTGCAAACAGTTTTATTCCCCTGTCCCGAAAAAGCCCTACCTCCAGTTTCAGTACCCTATTTACAATCCCATGGAACGTCCCATTTCCCCTCCCCCCAGAGAAGCCAAAATGGCTCACCCATGGTCTTAATGGCTGTATTCTTATTTAAAGTTCCTAGTCCTAGGACAGATTTCTTTCCTCCTTTCCCCCAATTCATCCTGCTTACCTATCCCTGGGTGTGAATCAACAATCTGCCTGGTCTAGCAATCTCTTGAGTCTTTATATTCCTGAAGATGGCCCATGCCCAAAAGAGTTATTTCTCACAATACTATTAGTATAAGGGGGCTTCAAAAACTTCATGGAAAAGTGAGATTCAGAGCTAATGGAATTCTGCATGAACTTTTGAAGCCTTCTTGTCTAAGTCTTTTCTCCCCCTTTCACTCATCATTTTGGTCCTTTAACAGTAATGGCAGGCATGTGGGTTATTTTGTTCTGTGTGTTCTTTTGTTATTAACGAATTAAAATGAGAAGAAGGCCCCATAATGCATCATTTCTTCTTTAAACCTCTGAGCAGGTGTTCGCTATTTCCAAGGAACTGGTGCCTCGGGTCCTGTCCAGAGTGGTCGAATCTGTATCTGAAGAGCTCAGCCGACTGATGCAGTGCGTCTCATCATTCAGCAGAAATGGGGCCTTACAGGTATCCCAGCATTCACTGCCACACAAACCCTCTGTTTTTATTTCGAACATACAAGTCTGGTTTCAGTCATCATTCTTACCACATACAGACAGGTTCCATTCATTTCACTGTTTTATAGACCTATAAGTTGGAGATCGCTATTGTAAAATTTCTTGCATAAACTGTATCCATAATGCATTACCAACAAATCCCTGAGTTTCTGCTTCTGTAAGACTTTAATAGCCCTCTTATGAAATTATCTGAAGCAGAGCCTTCCTAAGGTATTATGATTTTTCTTTTGTCCTCACTGAATTTAATTTCACTAGAAATATTTAACAGTTTTCTTTTATTTCAGTTTTTCTAATATATTCCATCAGCTTGCATAGATAATGAATAACTGTCTCTTGGCACTCATTTTCCATCAGCTTGTTGCTGTTGTTATTAAGTGCTGTCAAGTCAGTTTTGACTCTTTACAACCCTAAATAGAGTTTCTAAGGCTTTAAATCTTTGCGGTAGCAGAAAACCTCAGCTTTCTGGAGTGACTAGTGGGATCGAATCTCCGGCTTTGTGGTACACAATCCAGTGCTTACTCCATCAGCTTACACACTAGTTATTTAAAATAATTAAAGTAGCAACTATAAATATTCTGTAAACCAAATAATTCTTTGTATGCAAGCAGACTAGCTGTGAGTTTTCAGTGGTCTGGAAGCCCTGCAAGTATGTTTCTAAAAGGCAGCATTGCTTTGATTTCAGTAATGGCTACAAGACCTCCTCTCTCAGGTCAGTTCCTCCCCGAGAGCAATTGCAAATCCTGAGTATGTTGTAAAGCAATACCTGACCAAATGAAGAATGAGGATTGGTGGAAATGAAGTGATGACGCTTGTGAGTTCCTTACATTTCACGAATTTTCTTAGGAAAGTTGGTCCCAAGGTGACTAAGACTTCACAAGAAAACCTGCTGTCTTTCTGGCTTGAATTCGAGGCTCAGCACCACTCCAGCTGCTGGGGGAAAAAAAAGCGTGGGGAGTTATCCCAGAGAGTATAAAGCAAAAGGCTCAATTGCTCGTAAACACTGCCGAAAACTCTGCTTGACTTATAAACTACATGTTCATGTTCAAACATCATTATAAGCAGCTCAACTAAGGCTCAAAGGACTGAAGTAAGAATCGAAATGCTGTCCAAGACACCAAGTTTTCATTTTGAGCCCAAATAAGTTGTTTTCTTAAACAAAATAAAAATCAACACTCTTTAAAAGCATCGTACAGAATATAGAGTCTCCATGACATATACTATTCACAATGTCCAGGATACAAGCAAAACTTAATTGATAGGTACAAACAAAACAAAATAGGGAGCATGACCCAGTCTCAATAGGAGACAGAATCCAGCCTCAAAATGGCCCAGTTATTCACACTGTTTTAAAGCCACTGTGTTTGATGATGTAAAAGAGAATATATATGTTCATGATGAAGGAATGGATACAGAGCTGAGCAGGGTGAACCACAAGGTCGGCATCAAACTCACCAGGTGCTCCTCGGAAACCTTATACAGGGTCACTCTGAGTCAAAACTGACTGGAAACCTTATACAGGGTCACTCTGAGTCAAAACTGACTGAAACCCACTTAACAACAACAACAACAACAGCAGCAAACTAAATGGAAGTTTGAGAACAGAAAATTCAATATATATTATATTTTAAATCTGGATGATAATAACAGAATGTAGATGATTAAGGAAAAAACTCAGTGAACTTGAAGACATCTCAGTAAAAATAACCCAATTTGAAGGCAGAGAAAAAAATTACTGGGAAAAAAAAAAAAGGGACAGAGCTTCAGGGACCCATGGGACAATATTAGATTCCCAGAAAAGTGAGCAAGAAATAGGAGGGGAAAAATTGTTTGCAATGTCATGTTTCAAATTTTCCCAAGTTGATGAGTGATACAGTTTATAGATACAGAGGGACCCTGGTGGCAGAGTACCTTATACATTGAGCTGCTAACCAAGCAGTCTGTGGTTCTAATCCACCAGCTGCTCTGCAGGCGAAAGTATTGTGATGTCTGCAATTTACTTTGAAATGTATCCAAAAAAATAGAGACATCAGTGAGGGGTAGGAGATAAATGTCTGTATGAAATGAAACAAGTACAATAAAGTACGCATAGTAGAATCTACATATTAAGTATACGGTTTGTTATGGATTGAACTGCTGTATCCTTCCAATAGATATATTTAAGTCCTAACCCCTGGCATCTGCTAACAGTCCTTATTTGTATAGATTCTTTGAAGGTGTTATCAGTTAACTTGAGGTCATACTGAGATAGAGTCCTAATCTAATTTAGATGGTGAGGAGATACACAAAAAGACAGAGGAGGGAAGACAGCCAGGTGACATGGGAATTATGCTGTGGGCTCCAAGCAAAAGAAATCTTGTTCTAGAAATGATCTTCTCAAACCTTGAGAGTCAGTCCCTGACTTTAGACTGTTAACCTCCCAGATTGTGAGACAATCAATGTATGTTGTTTAAATCCACCCACCTTGCAGCACTTCGTTTGAACAGCCCTAAGAAAGTAATACGGATGGGCCACTGGAAAATTCTTTCAAATTTTCTGTAAGCTTAAAAAGTTTCACAATGAATGTTGGTAAAAATAACAAATATTTTATTATGTTTTGGGGAAAGTTTACATAGCAAATTAAGTACCTATCTAACAATTTCTCTGCATAGAGTCCTGGTGTGGCACTGTAGGATATGCAAGATCAGTTTGAACTGCAAGGTTGGCAGTTCCAGTCTACCAGCCGCTCCTTGGAAACCCTATACAGGGTCGCTGTGAGTCAGAACTGACTCGAAAGAACTCAACAACAACATGCATAGTGTTCCATTATTGTACCTTTCAGCTCTGTTCGTTTCCTTTTTATAATTCAGTCATATTATTGAGTCTTTAGTTTATGTATCATTTTCTTGGTTTCTTTTAGATCTTTGACCAGGTTTTCCGTTAGCTCTTTGAGCATATTTGTTGCTGTTGCTTTAAAGCCTTTGTCTTGCCTCCCAGAGGGAGGTTTCTGTTGCTCTATTTTGTTCTTTTGAATGAGCTGTTAGTTTTCTGCTTCTTTGAATGCATGTCATTTTTTGTTGGAAATGGGTCGTTGGAACTTTGGAAAACAGGTTCCCTCCATCCTCCATTGCTAGCTCTTAATTTGGTTTTGTTCGCTTGTGTTGTTGAAGGCTGTTATAGTACATTTGTTTAATGACTTTCCCTTGCTAATTTTACAAAGATTGCTTTTCTGTCATGCATCAACACTGAAGTCTGGTTTTTAGCTTGTGTTCATCTAGTATCTTAATAGAGTGTTCCTTGAACTAAAAAGGGCCAAAAAAACCTCTTTGCAAACTGGCCACGTTTTAGGGCCCTTGGACATGGAGCACATTAACACCTAAGGGTCAACCTGCAGTAGAAAACATAGGTTCTCCTTGGGTATTTTCTAAGTATGCCTCTTGTGCTTGTAAACATACATGTGGCTTTCCTAATTTCCAGTATACATGGTACTTTTGAAAACCATAATTTCCCAAAGAAACTTCCTCCCTCGTCTCCTTCTGGGTGGTCATGGTGTGACTTAATTGAACCATGCTTAGCCCAGGCAGTTGCATCTTTTGGACGTTGCATGTGAACGCTCTTCCCTGAGAGAAGTCTGAGACAGGCCAAGCCAAGATGAGCATCTTGCACAAGTCCTTCATGCCACCACAGACAGGTTAGAATGAATAACAGGGTGATTTTGTTAAGTGCTGTCCAGTCATTTCCACTCACAGTGACCCTATGTAGGGGTTCCAAGGAGCAGCAGAGGGGTCTCAGTCCAGTGCTGATCCTACAGTAACGGCTCACAAATAGTTGGTGAGTAAAGTCTGCTTTGCTACTTCTGGACCCTGAGATCAGCCTCCCATCACATCTTAAAGGCAACACTGGCCCTGGGAAGAGATGGGGCATAACATACCAAAGGCATTCAGTTGGTTGCCATCATTGTTTCCTTGACTCAGGGTTCACTTAGTTGCTGTGACAATTGTCCGTAGTTCTGTCAGTTTCTATTGTTCGCTTGTTTGTTTGGGGGGCGTTGTTGTTATTTGTTGGTGTCTGTTGCAGACAGGTGTGTAGGCCTGTTTACGCCGTCATCTTGGTCTGGGACTCCCTTTTTGATTATAGCCACACTAGTATCTTAGAAGACCTTACTTTGGTTTTTATTTGTACTTCTCCGATGACCATTGAGGAGTCCCTGGGTGGTGTAGATGGTTAGGTGCTCAACTCCAAGCTAAAAGGTTGGGGGTTTGAACACACCTTGGAAGACGGGCCTGGAATGCAGGTCACAGCCTTAGAAACCCTATGAAGCAGGTTCTTCTCTGACACATGGTGTTCTCCATTAAGTCAGAAGTGACCTGATAGCTACTGGCCACAGTAGCCAGAGATGTAGAGCTGGTTTTCATGTGCTTACTACATTTGTATATCTCCCTTGGTGAGCGGTCAGTTCCATTCACTGGTCCAGTTTTAAAGTGGGTTCATTATCTTTTTAACTATTGAGTTATACGTGACCTTTATGTATTCAGGATACAAGACCCTTATCAGATATGTGATTTGTAACATTTCTGTCCCCTTCTTCAAGTTGTCTTCACACTTTCATGATGCTATCTTTCTGCAGCACAGAGTTTAAATTTTGAAGCCCAATTATTATTTTTCTTTTATTATTTATGGTTTGAAGGCTTTGCTTGGTCCACAGTAAAGATCCACTCCTGTTTTTTCCTCAGATTTTTACAGATTTATCTCTTACATTTGGGCCTGTGATCCATTTTGAGTTTGTGTATGTATGTGTTTAAGGGCTCCAGCTGTATTCTGTTACATGTGGATATCCAGTTGTTCCAACACCATTCGTTGAAAAGACTCTTCTTTTCCCATGAAATTGTTTGGGCACTGTCTTAGTTATCAAGTGCTGCTATCACAAATACATAATAAAGCACAAGACCACAAGGTCAGTTTGAACCACAGGGCAGCGGTTCAAACTCACCAGCTGCTCCTTGGAAATGCTGTACAGGGTCGCTATGAGTATAAACCAACTTGACGACACTTAACAATAACAAACTGGGCGGGGAAAATGTTTCCCACAGTTTAAGAGCCTAAAAGGAACAGCTGGTGGGTTTGAACTGCCGACCTTGTGCTTCACGGTCCTGTGCTGATCCTACAGCACCACACAGGAATCCTTGTCAAATGAACGTTTAAATTCTTTTCCATTGGTTTAGTCTGTCCATATGTCGAAATCACACAATCTTCACTACTGTAGGACCAAGTTGTAAATTGGGATGTGAGAGTCCTCCCATTTGGTTGTTTTTCAGGGTTGGTCTGACTCTCCTGAATCCTTTGTATTCCCATGTGAATTTTATGCCTGACTTGTCACTTCTGCAGAAATACCAGCCGAGCTTCTGATAGCTGTGGTCTTGAATCTCTAGAACTTCAGCTTATGTTTGAAGATCAGAGTCCGTGTGTGTGGCTGGTCATAGGTGTGAGTGTACAAGCCCACAGAGAGTGCTGTACGAGAGCAAATTCCCTCAGATCAGTTCTTCAGGGGCTCTCTCCTTCTACTGCCAGACCAGTAAACACAGTAGTAGTTGGATAATGGGGGTCCTGGTGTGGTGCTGTGGGTTCATGCACTGGACTTCAAGGTCAGTATGAACTGCAAGGTTGGCAGTTCAAACTCACCAGTTGCTCCTCAGAAAGCCTATACAGGGTCACTGATAGTCAGAATTGGCTCGAGGGCACTTAACATGAGCAACATACAGTGGGTAATGAATACAGGCCGCTGGAAATCACTCTACGCTTCGTACCACTTGCAGCAAGGTCCCTGGCTCCCTGATTTCACACAGTCACATTTGATGTCTGATCATTTTTGCAGTGATTGTTAAGTGCCGTTGGGTTGATTCCGATTCACAGTGACCCTACCTAGGGTTTCCAAGGAGTGGTTGGTGGATTTGCACTGCTAGCCTTTCGGTTCAAACTGACCTTAGACCCAGTGCTTTATCCTGCGGCACCACAGTCAGCATCAATTTGGCCACTGCCTGTTTCTTTAGACTGTCTCCTGGAGCCTGGTTGTCACTTTATGCTGATTGAAGTCCTGCGCTTACAGCCCAGTTGGAGGCTGTTGGGCCACACTATCGTTTTTAGTTCGTAATGGAAGCAGGGCCTCCAGTTTGTCACTTATGTTCTTTTCTCTTCTTCAGGCAAGGCTTGAAATCTGTGCCTTAAGAGATACTGTGGCCATTTATCTGACACCCGAAAGCAAGTAAGTAAGATGCTAAGTGCTCCTGTTCTCTATGCTACTCTTTGTAAAGACAGTTGATCAAGGGAAATGTTCAGGATTTTCGGAAGTGATTAAGTTTAGGATCATTTTTTTAATGTAAACTCACAGTAAGCCAGGCTCCTCCAACATTGCATGTTTGTAGCACAAAATAAAAGGGGAAAGGTTTAATACACTTTTAAGTTTTCCATTCATTATGGATAAGTCTTAGTCCTCATACATGATGTAGCAACACGTGATGTACTTCCTTAAAAGAAAAAGAAAAAAGTGTGGGGTGGCAGGAGGGAACAGAATGAAGTCTTACTGTGCCCGTAGCAGATTCTGAGAGACAGATTGAGGGTTGTAAATATCAGTGTAAGAGGAAACCTCGTGGTTTGTCTGTAAAATTTTGTAGTGGAAACGATGATAATTTTTAGCTGTTTTGAATGAAAGTACAAGGATTTCTATCACAAAAATATCAGTAGGTGAAGTGAAACAGCACTAACCACTTACTATATAAAACTGTTTACTTCATTGAGAGTATTAACTAGGGAATATTGGGTTTTGTTTGTATTTTGCCTGGGAAGCCATCCATCTACCCATCAACTGTTTAAGGACGCTTTACGTGGTCTCCATGGTGTTCACTTCCAGCATTTGATGACATGGCTTACATCATCGTCCTGATTTTCATCATTACATGGAAGAGACTTGTGCTGTTGTTTTCTAACCAAATGAAACTAGCTTCTCTTTCTTATTCACCGTGGCTTACCAGAACCATTTTCGAATTGTGTCCATTGCTAATTATTGATCCACATCGTTCTCCAATCATCATATTTCTCCCCAATGGACAAAAGATAGAAATGGTAGAAGGTAGAAAGTCCTAGGTCCTTATTGCATGTGTCCACATACTTTGCATAAGTACCTATCTAAGCAAAACTGTTTGGGGAATTAAATGAAAAGTGTGTAGAGTCACTTTCTAAATGTCAAGGCACAGCAAATGAGTGACACCATCCTCCTCCTAATTCTTACCAGCTGTTGGTGCCGAAGTGAAAAAAGAACACATTTCTTTTTCTTAATTCAGAAGAGGGATGCAAGGAATGAAGACATTAAATTTCAGAAATGCTATTGGAACGGGTTAGAACTGTGGCTGTATATATATATATTTTTTTTGGCTTTGAGAATTTAGGGAAAGCTGCCTGTTTGGGTGATTTTGACAAGGTGTTTAGATTAAGGTGGCATAGAATCTGATTCCTGCTCTTACCTAGCTTGTCCCTGGACTGCTTCAGAGCCTCACTTTTCTGATGCTTATAGAAGAGAGAGTGCCACTTTTTGTGTATCTGCAAAGGACGGCATGCATTTTGGGTGAGAGGGGAACAACAGATTCATAATATTAAAGCTTTCTATCTAGAACAAAGTGTGTCTCTCCAAAGTACAGGTAGTTTCTGACTTAACACAAGCCACAGGTAGGACTGCTATCCAAAAGGTCAGCAGTTCAAATTCACCAGCCTCTCTGGGGAAAAGGGTGAGGTTGTCTACTCCCATAAAGATTTACAACCTCAGAAACCCTATCCAGGGCCACTGTGAATTAGAACTGACTCAGCAGCACTGAACCGCAACAACAGAGGCTGCATGAAATCAGGTAATTAATGACATGTAACTTCCTGCCACATCAGGAAAGAGGATAGCCTAGTTAATATTGACAAAGGAGAGCTAAGTGTGCCAACAAGCTCTATTGTGTCCCCATACCCTATCAGAACGACTAAAGACTTGCAGCTATGGTTTTATGACCCTGATGGAATTTTTCAGGTTTTGTGTGTGTGTTGCTGTGACACCTGCCCCTAGTTTGAGAAACGCTAGTCAACAATATATTTCTTGGTAAATTGATGAGATTGTTTTTCAGTACAAAATCAAAACCACATTTCCAAGTCAAGAATAATTGCATGTATTTCTTGCCCTCAGTCAGCCAGTCCTAAAGTTAAGAACTGTTCCTTAGTGAACAATACAAGTGATTACCAAATAATCTAAGATGCTTTTCATTTTAACTGGTAATTGGTTTGATACTTTTGCTTACAACAGCTACATTCAAATTGGTCATTTTTAAATTGACTTCTTTATGCCTTTTTCATGTAAAGAAATGATATTGAATCCTCCATTTACCTGCGGGGTCCTGCTGTGGTGCTGTCAGATAGGCACTCAACCATAAGGTTAGTTGGAGCTACAGGATCGGCAGTTCAAACTGACCAGCTGCTCCTCGAAAACCCCATACAGGGTCGCAATGAGTCGGAACCGACTCGATGGCACTCAACAACACCAACATTTACCTGTGGTTATTATTTTAATAATAGCTAAAACCTGTCCAGATCATATTCAGTTCTAAGATATCAAACTGTAAACCAAGCATTATTGATATGAATGAATGCTGTAAACATCCCTATTTGTGTAAATTTCACAATGTTTTGACGTACTCTTAACCTTTTCAGCTTCCTTTTCTTACCACTGTTTGAATGTAGTCCAGGTATTTGTTGGAAAGACAGACTTTTTCTTTAGTAAGCATCTCACCTGTCATCCTTTCTTTAACCAGCTTCTCCTTGGCTTTTTCAAGTTACGTTTCATTTCCTAGTTTAGTTGTTCTGACTCTATTACAAAGCTTCCATCTAGTAACTGCCCCTTTTACTTTTTCTGTTGTTTTTCACTTTTACTTTTCCTCATATTTACACTTGCTTCATTGCCTCACATTGGTTTTTATGCTTAAGAATATTTTAACGATCTTCTGAATTCGCTTAGAGCTATGCAGTGCTCCGGCCTTCATGCTAACCTTTCTGTCCAGGTCCAGTTTTAAACAAGCTCTGGAAGTCCTGCCTCAACTCTCCAGTGGAGCAGATAAAAAGTAAGTGCTGTGTTTCCTTCCCAGGATCCACTAGGTCATTTTTGTCCCCCAGAAGCACCCTGTGGCAGAATTTTTTTTAATGATTTGGATTTAAGGATGATCATTACTTAACCCTTAATATTACATGTTCTGTTAATGTTACCTTTCCTGGGGGAATATTGAATAACAGAAAAATATGAAACTTTTCTTCTGGGTTTATTGCAACTAAGTAATTAGTTGGTTCCTTGTTTTAAGTGACTAATACAGAAAAATCATTAGAAAGAAAGCTTATTTTGACTCACATGGTAAAATACATTATTTGCTATGCTTTTTTAAAAAGAATATCTAAATTCATGTAAAAGAGACCATCCTAGTAAAATGCAGGATCTGTGTGGCTTTTTACTGATAAAGTTGCATTTAGTAAAACATTTCATGCTCCATAAACTGTAACATTTAAAAAGAAAATACTTGTAGCTATGCATGGTGAGGAAGACACATGGGTTTCATTCATGCTGTAGCCTGTGTTCAAACTCGGGCACTCCTGCTGCATGTATGTGAAGTTTTGAGCTGTGAGAGGCTAGCTGGGCGGACATCATAAGAGTTAGGCTTCCCTCCCAAAAGCACACAGGCATTGTAGACCTTCTGCAGCTAGGGCCACCCACCACCCTTTACGACGTATACCCCCCTCCCCTTGCTTTGTGATGACCACGCCACTGGGTTCTGTGAAGGATTCAAAAGATGCCAGACCTGGCTCCAGGTCTTCAAAGAGCTAGTGGTCTAGTTGGAAAAATAATTAGCACGCTTCTGAAGAATGTAATTAACTGTATCAGGCAGTTCCAAGTTTGTGTTGGATTAAAGACACACCAGAGATGGGCTGCGTAGGAAATAGCAGGAAAGAAGGAGACCTGAACCAAAAGGTGAAGAGGGGCAGCAGACAGGTTCTCTGTGAATTACTACTGGAGTCCTGGGGTGACACTGTGGGTTAATGCGCTGGACTGCAAGGTCAGTGGTTCAAGCTCACCAGCCACTCCTGTACATGGTCGGTAAGAGTCTGAACTAACTCCATGGCACTAAACAACAGTAGCAACTGTGTAGTCTGGATGTGGCACTGTAGGATTAGCACTAGACTGCTAACCTCAAGGTCAGCTGTTCAAACTCATTAGCTGCTCCTTGGAAGTCCTATGCAGGGTTACTACCAACAGCCAGTGTAGTGTGGTTCTTGTTTTCATTTCTAATGAGCAGATGGGTGGGTGTACAAACAAAGCCCATATCTACAAGCTGTGATTTCTTGTTCTTTTCGAGCACTAAATTTCAGCCTCTCTGAATTGGTTCTAAGCCTTATTTATGTCTTGAAAATAAATATGATAAAACATTAAAATAATCACTGTTATTTCACAGCATTGTTAAACAATGTAATTTTTTTTGAGGTACCCCCTAAATGCCTAGTGTGGTAGTCACGTGTGCAGACGTTTATCTTCACGCAGCGCATGCTAGTACATGTGGAACCAGCTCTTGCTGTTCTTAAGAATATGTCCCACCAGGCTGGGAAACACTTGAGCTAGAATGATTTGCCTAGCAGAGTTAGAACTAACCTGCATTCTTTGGTGAGTTTACCACTCTCCGATATTTATTTGTTAAAGATGGAAAAAGAAATTTTAAGGGCATAGAAAAATAGATGAGTGGTTGCTTGGGACTAGAATCTAGGGTCTGGGGAGAGACATTGACTACAAAGGGCAAGGCAAAGGGATTTGGTGATGAAACTGTTCAATCTCCTTATTTTTACCATATGTGCTTACCTATTACACACAGAAAACTCAACACCAAAAACAGTGAAGTTTAGCAAAGAAAAAAGATAGGCCTGAACATTATTAGACTGTTTTAGGGCAGAACCTAATTAACCTGGGTTTAGGATGTAGGAGGGAGATTAGTGGTTTCCTTTTAATTAAATTATCTGATTGACTTCTGTTACTAAGTTGTTGTTAAGTGATGCTGTATAGGGTTTCTAAGGAGCAGCTGGTGAGCTTGAACAACCAATCATGGTTCAAACCGACCTTGCAGTCCAGTGCATTACCCCACAGCGCCATGAGGTTAAGAATCTGTAAATAATAACCTTTTCAACTGCCTTCTAAAAACCAGCCAGGTGGAGTCGCGGTTGAGTAACTGGCAGTGCTAACTGGTTTCTTATGTTCTTAGGCAGCCTTGGTTCTGTCAGCTTGTGACGTGCCCTCTCGTCCCTTACAGGTCCCTGGAGGAGCTTCTGAACAAGTTCAAGAGCAGCATGCATCTGCAGCTCACCTGCTTCCAAGCTGCCTCATCAACGATGATGAAAACATAAATGCCCCACAAAGCAAAAGCAGTCTAGAAAGGAAAGAATGATAATAAAGCTAGTAAAGTTCTTAAATTCCTGAAGATGTTTATGTATAAAACCCTGGCTTTATAGATTTTCCCCCCAATGGCTAGCTTAGAAAAATCTGATATGTGTTTTCTTTTGACCCAAACAACCTTATTTGAAATGCCCAAACAGTATTTGCTTTGTCATCCCTATTGGACAGTGTCCTGTGTGAAATCTCTTCTGAACTCTGTGTCCCTCAGCTCCATGTGGCAGGGAGGCTCTGACATGGCTGTGTTCCCTGCGTACAGCACCGTTTCTCCAGTCTCCAACTTTTCCATCCAGCAGGTTCCAAGACACATGAAGATCTTGATGGGCAGAAAATTACATTTAGACATCCTTGGAGCTCTAACTGCCCTAAACCGTACAGCCGCACTGAAAACCATATTTCATACAAATGGTTGTAATGTTCCTAACTCACGTGAGTTTTTAACAAAAATTTATGATCTGCATTAAAAATGTCCTATGTGAAGTAGATTGTTTTTTGTCCGGTTGTCCATGTAATCCCATTTTTCTTTTATTTTTGCGGTGGTGGTGTGGCAGTGTAAGATAAGCACTGGACTGCTAACTGCAGATTGGCAGCTCAAACCCACCAGTCGCTCCTCAGAAACCCTATACAAGGGTTGCTATGAGTCAGAAGCGACTTGATCGCACTTAACAACAGCAAAACATGATGCATCTTCTCAGTGTGGCGTTTTTGTTCTCACCTCACTCCTAGTTTGCCACTAAACTCTTGTCACACATTTGCCTGTCCTGAGGACCTCAGTGTTACCTGTCAGTACTTGATCATGACGGCTGCAGCCTTCAGGTTTGCCCGTTTCACTGCCTTGACCATCTTCTGGCTCCTTCCAACAGTTTCGCTTGTCCTTTGGTAGATTTTGCTCAATAGCTGAGAGAATGTTAGCATTTGCTGAGACTCAGCCCTGTGCTGCATGTCTCCTGGGACTGGCTGCAGGTCACTGTGACCGCACAACACGACTCCCCCACGTAACACTGTCATACCAAGTTGCTTCAGAAAATTAGGCAATTCTCGGCTTATAGTCTGCTCATTAAGGTTTTCAGATTTTTCTGCAGACATCGTATAATGTCTTCAACAACACCAGTCATTCACAGCACCTTGGAGCCACAGACAGCACCACAATTCCACAGAAGTAAGTGCTGCTCGTTCATCTGGTATACGGAGGGAATTATAGTAACTGGAAAGAAAGTCTTCTTTTACACATGTGTCTTTCCTAAGCATGTAATCGAACATGCTATGAGCTATGCTATAAAGGTTCAGTCCTTGAATGTTGATATGATTTTCAGCAACTACTTCAGAGTATTCAGCCAGTGAAGACTCGGTCTTCAGTACAAGATACAATTTCGTTGACTATTCCTCAGAGTGTCTTTATTTCAACATACCTTTATTAAAGTTTTTACATTCAAAATAAATATTTAAATTTGAGTTTGCTCTGTGTTTGATCACTGGCAGAAAGCATCTATTGGGTGTCCTGCTCATCCCCTATTTGTGCTAGGGGCTCTGGTGGCACAGTGGTTAAGCACTTGACTACTAACTAGAGGTCAGTGGTTCAAACCTGCCAGCCACTTCCTTGGATACATGTGTGACAGTTTGCTTCCATATTGGAAGCCCTATAAGACAGTTGTACTCACTCTATCCCATAGGATTGCTGGAAGTCAGAACCAACTTGCTGGCACTGGGCTTGTTTGCCTTGGTTACCACGTTAGGTGTCTTATCAAATGATCTCCCTTCATCCTCACAACCTTTGACAAGCGTATGAGCCACATGGCCTTATGGCCATTTCATGGATACATAAATTGGGACTAAGGTTAGTAACTAATCTTAAAATGATGTATTCAAGTGCTCAAGCCCATGGGTGTCTGACTCAGGTGTGTCACAGAGTCACTGCACACCCCTTCCTCCCAGGCGAGCACATTTCCCCCTGTCCAACCCCAGTGACTCCCTTGAAGCATCTAAGTGCCAGAGGACAACACCTCTTAGCAACATCTATCCACTGCCATTGGACTCCTGGTATGGCGCTGTCAGATCAGCACTGGACTGCGAACCACAAAGTCGGCAGTTCAAACCCTCCAGTAGCCCCTCAGATACCCCATACAGGATCGCCATGAGTCAGAACCAACTTGAGGGCACTTAACGACAGTCCACTGCCATTGAAGCTGTTCTGGCTCATAGTGACCTGTTTAGGGTTTTTGAGACTAAATCTTTTTAGGAGCAGACAGACAGACTTATCTTACTCCCACGGAGTGGCTGTTGGTTTTGAACTGCTGAGCTTGTAACAACACCTAACCTGCAGTGCCACCAAATCTCCTTTTTAGCAACACAGGAACGGGTTAGAACATAAAAATCCCCTTACTCAAATGAGGTGGTTCAAGGAATACTTTTCCAACAAGTCAATGGGGACTTCTTGGAAAAAGGGGGGATTTCAACAGCTACATGAGTTACTGATGAATTTAGTGGTTAAAAGAAGGCAGGTGAGTATGACTTAGTTTTTAGGAGGACTTGGAGGAAGTTTAGAGACACAGAGGCCAGCCAAAGAATTTAGGTGTTCAAAGGTGTTTTCGACCGGCAGGTATGTGAGTTTAGCATATCCATGTTTGTGTGGGTCAGTATGGTTTCATGTGACTTCACATGAGTCTCCCTCACTTTAAATGCAAGAGGAATATTAGCAACTAGCTTGGTTTTACTAAGACTTTCTATATCAGTGTACTATGAAAGTGGCAATTGCTAGAAATGACTCTGGCGTTGCAAAACAAGCATGTTGCTTTGTTGAGTCACCCTCCTGTCTTGTCATCCCTCTTGCAGTGTCTTAAAGGGAACCATCAGAAAAGAGAACATGTTCGTTCTGGATCTGGTACAAGGCAGAGTGAGTGGCATGTGCTTCTGTTGGCATTGGGTGCTGTGTGTGCTAGGCTGTGCCATTCGATGCATAACAATACCTTACTGAAAAGGTATCTATTTCAACCAGTTTTAAATCAAGAGTTGTGGTGGTGGTTATGTGCCGTGGGAGTCGGTTCCAACTCATAGCGACCCTGTCCAGGGTTTCCGAGGCTGTAAATCTTTATGAGAGCAGAAAGCCTCATCTTTCTCCCATAGAGCGGCTGGAAGTTTCGAACTGCTGACATTGCAGTTCACAGCCTGATTCATAACCACTATGCTACCAGAGGTGCTAAATCAAGAGTAAGTTCCTAAAATATGTAAAGACAGATTTTATATTACTAGATAGTAAAGGTTGATTATATTACTAGATAATAAAAGTACCATAGAGTCGGCTCTGACCCATAACAACCCTGTATAGGGTTTCCGAGGAGCAGCTGGTGAGCTTGAACCACCGACCTTGAGGTTCAAGCCAACTTTGCAGTTTGACACATTGACCCACAGCAGTACACCAGGACTCCGATAATAAAAGTAGTGACAAAGTACAAGATCAACATACAAAAATCAGTTAGATTCCTCTACAGTAATAATGACAATGCTTAATAGGACATTAGGAAAGCAACACCATTTACAATAGCCACCCAAAGGATGAAATATTTAGGAATCAATATAATCAGAGAAACAAAGAAAACTACAAAATGCTACTATAAGAAACCAAAAGAGACTTACAAAAACGGAAGAATATACCATGTTCTGGATAGGAAGACTTAACATAGTGAAAATGTCAATACTACCCAAGCAATCTACACATACAACGCAATCCCAATCCAGATTCCAACAACATTCTGTAGAGAAATGGAAAAAAACAATTACAAACTTTATATGGAAAGGAAAGAGACCCAGGATAATCAAAGCATTGCTTAAGAAGAATAAGGTTGGAAATCTGTCACTTCCTGATTTCACAATTTTACTACATGGCAGCAGTAGTCTAAACAGTCTGGTACTGGTACAGTGAAAGATACATAGATCAATGGAACAGAATTGAGAACCCAGAAATTAACTCATCCACATACAATTAACTGATCATTGACAAAGGGCCAAAGTACATTGAGTGGGGAAGGCATAGTCTCTTCAACAGATGGTGCAGGCATAACTAGAAATCGATAGGCAAAAGATTGAAACAAGACTTTTACCTCACGCCATATACAAAAACCAACTCAGCATGGGTTAAAGACCTAAATGTGAATCCCAAAATTATAAAAGTCATCAATGAAAAAATAGGGACAAACTTGAGAACTCCAATACAGAACACACACAGACTACCAAACTGAAAATTACACAAAGAGAAGAAGACAAAATAGATGATTGGGACATTCTAAAAATTAGAAACTTAGGTGCATCAAAGGATTTCACCAAAAGAGTGAAAAGGGAGCCCACAGAATGGGAAAAAAAATATCTTTTGCAATGACGTATCAGACAAGGGACTCATTTCTATAATCTATAGGAAACTACAACACCTCTACAAGAAAAAGACAAATAACCCAATTAAAAAATGGGCACAGGACATGAATATACACTTCACCAAGGAAGACGTTCAGGCAGCCAACAAACATATGAAGAAATGTTCACGATCACTAGCCATTAGAGACATGCAAATCCAAACAATGAGATACCATCTCACACCAGTAGTAACAGCAAAGTTCAAAAATGCAGAGGACAATAAATGCTGATGAGGATGCGGAGAGACTGGGGTCCTCCTACATTGCTGGTGGGATTGCAGAATGATCCAAGCACTCTGGAAAACAGTATGGCTCTTCCTCAGAAAGTTGGAAATAGAAATGCCATATGATCCAGCAATTCCTCTACTTGGTATATATCCACAGGAAATATGAGCCATAACACGAGTAGATATATGCACACCAATGTTCATAGCAGCACTATGCACAATAGCAAAAGGATGGAGACAGCCTAAGTGCCGTGCCCATCAATGGAAGAATGGATAAACAAACTTTGGTACATACTATGCTACCCTTGAAAAATAACGATGAATCTG